ATATGTGATTGAGAGAGAATGAGAGGACTGATAATCAGCAGCTATCTTTGAAAATATTCAGCATTTTAAATATCATGCATACCTTTTACTTTCTTGTCATATGTTAGACACTAGCTTAAGAGTTTATGGGAGTGGAGAAAGCAGAATCCTTTAAAATATGTACTATAAACTATCTTTTGACAGAGTAGCAGCAATAAAAGTTAAAGAGAGGAGAGTCAGTTCATTGTTTTGAGGTCCTTTGAGAATGTCAATGGCTTTTGACTCCCCTTGACTACCCCTCAAAGCAGAGACGGGTGAGCAGAGGTGCTTGACCCTACTCATCCTGCTTCTTGGCAGCTGCTGCCCTGTTGCAGCAGCAAATGTTCTGTGTCTATCGAGAACTTCTCCTAAAGGTCCTTCATAGATCATGAAAAGCATATTTTTGGTCTTTTCCAGTACATACCATCTAAAAAGGTAAGATCTTTCAGTCTTTTCCAGTCTATAACATCTGAAAAGGAAAGAGTTAGTGGTGTTAGGAGTCAGAAGCCATCTTTCTATTTGAGCCATCACTTGACTGGTGTCTATTACCAAGAGATTGAGCTGGGAAGGCTCTTGATGCGGTTGTGTGAGCATCAGAATTGAGAAGTTTAATATCTCTGAAGTTTATTGATCTGGTAATTTTTATCCTGTTTCATGTAGTTTCCACCATTTTTGGTTTGTATGTAGTCTTTCAACTTCGTCCTACCCTTGCATCTACCATAAGATTCCAGATTATCTTTGATCATCGTGGCAACTTCCATCTACAGGCAGGAGGAGGGAATTGCAGATGGCTCCTGAATGAAACTTTTTTGCAGGTAACACAGTTCTAAAAGCCCTTTCCTAAAGCTTTATGCCATTCATTTCTGTGAATAGAGAAGGCTGCTGTACTATGGTACATCTTTGAATTCTGGAAACCAAATATCTTTTCTTCTGAGCAGGTCTTTGAAAGAAACCTCCTATCTATGCACAATAATGTCCCTGATGTCTGATGTCACACCATGCCCAACATTCTCTCAAGGTTTTTCCTGTTCCTCAAATGTCTTGTACAGAAAGATTATCTCTTGTAGTTCTGCACTCTGTTCATATGCTGTAATCCTACTTGAACTGCCTCCTTTTTCTGAAATAGCTTTTGTTCTGGTTCAGCTAGGATATCTGTATATAGAAAGATGAGCACCAGAGATAAATTCACTTTTATGGTAAACATTTCCTTAATTTTATGTATTGTTACAATCAACATTTGGCTTTTATGTATCTCATATACAAAATGAATTATAAATAATTCCTTTAAGTAGCTTCCAGTACATACTTAATTGTGCTAAACTATACTAAAATGTATTTTCATAAACAGTGAATGTGAGGAGTGTTGAAAACTTAGGAGAATTTATAATACATTAGAGTCTAGGGAATTTAAACTGTATATGTTAAAGAAAGAGTTATCTATTGTAGGCATTCTCTTTTTTGTAGGAAAAAATCAATTTTAGCTAATAAAAATTAAAACTGAGCTTAAGCTTTTCAATAAAAATATGTACATAAGTACATACATATGCTCATACAAAGCACAGGCAAGAACATGGTAAGCAATTTGAATGGGCAAGCAAAGAAGTATATTTCTAATCCTGCAACTGTCATCAATCTTAGTTTAGATTTTGCATTCCATGCCTCTAAATAAATATACAACTTTAAAGTCTTAGGTGCGATGTTAGGAATCCTCTTCGTTTTAGCTTCTGTTTCATGCTTTCAAGTGCTGCTGCATCCTGTTCTCATTTCTATGACTTTGACTATCTGTTTAGACTTGTGTCAGACAAGACCTGAAGAAACATGCCAAATGACAAGTTTTTCTCTTTCCTCCTTTATTTGGCTTTCCTTAAACATGGAAACATGATCAGACACTATGACTCTTCCTGTACTCAATTTATTTGCTTATAAGTTATTAATTATAAAAAACAATTTACTAAAACCCACACAAATTATAATTCTTCATTTAAATAAATGAAGAAAACAGAATAATCGTGGTGTTTTGCTATATATTAAAGAAAGGATTATATAACTAGGCCTCTTGTGCAAATACGTGGAATTATTCATTTCTAGTCTATAACTAACAATGTTATTGCAATCAACTTTAAAATGAAAGAAATCCTTAGCATTTCTTTAGCCTATTAGAAACCATAATTTTCTCATGTTTTGGGAGGCATTTGGAAGCCACTTCGTGTGATTCTCCAGGCTTGCTGCTGAATACTTGCGCAGTCTCGAGTACCCTTTTCTCAATTTTCCTGGCATTAGACAAGTACTGCTGGGCTCAGATGTTTGTGTCTCCTTCCATTTCCCACAGTACAACTTAACCTGTCACAGGATCTCTGCCTTTCCTGAACATCAGGTGCTGAGAAGTGTCTACATGTTTTCATTTGGGGCTGTCAGCAACTACATTAAGCAAAGAAAATTGTGACAGCCCCGCAAACAGACTGGCATTTTATTTGATTTGTTTTCACAAGCTTCCATATGAAATCGTTAAATTTTGTCAGTAGGAATGCCATCGTTCTTCACACAAGCAGTCCATGCCAAAGTGGGTGTGAGTAGATTAAATAATTACCTTTTAGGCCATTTGAGTCACTCCAAAAAAGTGTTGACATTTACCTCACTACCTGCTGTACATAAGTATGCATGCCCATCTATTGATCGTACTTTTCTGGAATGAATCACTCATGAGGATATTTTATTTCTATAGGAAACTCTTGAGAAACGGCTATGCATCTTCTGCTGTTGCTAATGTAATATCAGTTTACAGGTTCAGAGATGATGACTGGAGGTGGGCATGTACTTTTCTAGACCTGTTTGGATATTTGTTTGTTCGAGGTTTCTACACTGAGGCTGAATTGCATAAATGGAGGCAGGCAGAAATGGGCCTTAGTATACTTTGCTTAAACTGATAGTCATGGTAGGACTTCTACATAAGGTGATCACATAAACATTTACACACTCATAAAAAATATATATCTATACATACATATATGTATTAAGTATGTTGTTTGCTGGGGAATTCCTTTCATATTTTGAAGATAAAACCTCAGATATTTAAGCTCAAAACACCCCTTTCAAGCACTAAAATTTACTGAAAATCTCCAGGTGATTTCTCATAGTCATTGTGCAGTCATAGACTTCATTGTGTTCAAAGTATAATAGCTCAGTAGTTAATTATAATTATTCACTCATTAGTAGAACTTTTATGGAACCTATCAACATCTTACCTACAAATCTTTAATGTACTATGATAATATTATTGATATGGTATATAAAAAATTAAATATGCATCCTTATATTCTAT